GTGGTGTTAGCCGCTTGGGTGACAGGCCTAACTTGAATCAAAGTCAGTCTTCCAGCCAGGGCTGGCGTTGGTCCAGCGTGCGCTTTTGGAGAGCCGCGCGTGCCAGTGAGTGACTTGTGGGCATCCTTGAGGTTTGTCAGTGGCTCAAGAGTCCTCCTGGCCTGTATTCACCACTGCCCGGAAGCGCCTTTCGTGTCCCCACTCTCCTTCCCTGCAGCTCCGCTTCCAGCGTGGTGCCGGCATTTACAGCTTCCAAGTCTAGTCATGAACAGAAACCCTAAATTATCCGATCTCTGTCCAGTTTGCTGTCCATCAGGCTGCCGCTTTTGATTTTGCTTCAGCAGATTGCGCCTTAATCCTCTCACTTCCCTCTACCAACTCTTTGCGTGAGCCACAGACCTGCCGCAGTGTGGACCAAACCAGTCTTTTCAAACTCGGCCCTTCCGCTGGTATACCAGACAAATTGTCTCAGCTCTGCTGGGCTGCAAAACTCTCCTCCTGCCTCTGCTGATGGGGTCACAGTTTGGGGCAATGACGGCCTTTTACTGGAGCTGGCCAAGTCCTTCTCATCTTGCTGTTTCTCCAGAAGGGCCTGGACTTCTTGAGCCTCTGGGGATCTCTTTTCGCTCTGATCTCTTATAGCTTGTATTGTTTTTCTTCCCCCGGAGGTTCATAGAATTCTAGATCTCATACTTCACACGTGGTGAAACTACTTCGTGTTGGGTTTTTGGTTTGTTTTCTTGTTTGTGAGTCTTATGTTTAGATCTGTATGAATACATAAATTGTCTTACTTTTCCTTGTATTTCCCTGTAGGGCATAACAAGTGAGTCAATTTAGCGGTGATGAAAACATATTTGAATAGAAAATGGAATCTGCTGGATGGTGAGAGCCCCTTACGTTTCTACGTTTTTTTTGTTCTCTTGTTGTTCCTTTCCTTTTTTGTTTTGTTTGTTTGTTTGTTTTGACTTTTTTCTTCCTCACCCCAAGGGGTGCCTGGTAAGGTCCAGAACTCTCCTGTTGGCAACAACTACTTCATCCCCCAGGAACGAAGCTCACGCTCACGGGTCTTGCATTGAGGCTGTCTGCATGTGAATCCCTGGACAAGTTCTTTAATCTCCCTCAGTTTCCTCATATGTAAAACAAGGATAATAATAGTATCTAACTCATAGGAAGATAATGAAAGTGCTTCCCACAGTGCCTAGCACAGAGTTCACATGTGTTAAAAATACGTATGATTGCACGTAAATACTGATGCATAGGATGATGGTACTTGGACAGTATTCATGACTTGAATTAATGAACAGTAGGATAGAGATAGGATTTGGGGTTCCTAAGTCTAGCTTCTGAATCTACCAAGAAACGAGCAGTAAGTGACCTCTCACTTAACTGGTCTTTGGTAAAAGAACTCGTGGAACCAAGAAAGATGATCCTGGCAATGCGTTAGTTTTATGGAGCGTTGAGAGCGATCCCAAGTTCGGTAAATTAGAATTTGGAAAAGGGACCACTGGCTACATAATGCCTTTTAAAGTTTTCCACCTGGTCTCTGGAAAAGAAATAGCTCTAGTGTCTAAAAAACTAGAGCAAAAGTTGAAAGAATGGGGTGTCACCTGGAAATGTTTCCTTATTCTGCACATAGATGCTGTCAGATACTTGCAAGGAGTGACAGGAAGAGGAATTTTATTAGTCCTGATTAATGTCCTGTTTCATCAAATACAGTGTTGCGCTTTGTGCTCAAAAGAAGGATGGGGTGGGAACGGTTGGGGAGAATGGGGTCATGCTGCAACAGTCAACTCTATGGCATTGACACGTGGGGAGGAATTTTTTCACTTTGTAGCTGATGCCTTGCAAGCATGAGATATCATCGTGAAAAAATCCCTGTGCTTATCCCAAAATTTTCCATGGCAGCGTGCTCTTCTCTGCGCTGATTTCACACGGCGTGAAGAAATCTCTTCTTTATTGCTTCTATGTTTACTCAATTTTCTAGCCATTAGTTTTTGAGAATGACTCCGTCATGACACATCAGGGAATATCTGCCACTGCCTCCGCAAAACAGTCTTCTTCTTCTTTTTTTTTTTTTAAATAATTGGGAACAATTTTCATTAATCGTTCATTTAAATATATATACATGGTATGAAGTACAATCATGATTCCTCTTAAAGGCACAAGACATATTTGAAGATGGAACAGTTTGGGAAGACAATACGCAAGTCATAGGGAGTTTTTTAGCTAGGAGGTTACTTACATCAGGTCAGCAATTCTCAGTCTGAGAGTCCTCGTGATTGTTTTTCCAAGGGGTTGGTAAATCTAAATAACATCTATAGACTAAATATATAATATATCTATCTAAAGCTGTTTTAATGTATTGAGGTTCTATTGTGATTTTTAAAATACATTCATTTTAAATTGATCCTGAGTTCAAGGTGGCTTGATGCCATATGTTTTTCAGTTGACACATAACAATCATGTAACTGCCATCAGGCAGGGAATATGTTACAATAATAATGTCTGTACATGAGAAGGGGATCCTTTTAGAAGAAGTGAGGACATCTGGACTGGCATATACATACAGGCCCAAACTGGTATGAGGACTGCAGACTGCAGCCAGGGCGAGTCCTGGGCCCAAACAGAGAGCCAAACGTCTGGCCTCAGACACGAACTTGGAAAATTCGCAATTCTTTGATCTCTCGCTTTTTCCTTCAAGTTAGGGCTCTCTGGGACTGCAACTGGCACTTGTTTATTATGAGATCACTGCTTCTCAACTAAGGATACCTACTCTGGTGAATTAGCTTTTATATAACACAGGATGTTTGAAGTTGTTTATTAGCTAGTCCTTTGCAAGAACCACTGGGATGGGACGGTATCGGATTGCTTTTCTACAGGGAAGGCATTGACAAGTACAGGAAAGTGTCCAAGGTCTGATTGTTAAGTTTAATATTTAAAATTTGAGACATCGAACATGAATTCTGTTCTGTCGGATGCCAACTTTTGGAAAAACTGATTTTCTTCTAAACTTAATCATCTGGGGCCTTTTTAACAAGTTCCATTTAAATGAAGAATTTATGTTTTTTAATGATAAGTATTTAAATATATGTTTAAATTAAATAATATAAAGTACAGAAAAAGCACAAATTTCCAAGCAAAATTCTGGACTCCCTATTTCCCCATAACCTTCACAAGACAGTGACTGCTTTGCTTTTCTCCTTAACCAAAAATCAACGGACTACAGTGCTATTTAGGGACGTGTCTCATTTGTTTTTGTGCTCAGCAAATATTTACTGAACGCCTCTGAAATGGTATTATTACATTATTACATGATATAGGTAGATAGAGATCTAGAGATATATCCCTAAATCCAAAGAACTTTTAATCGACTTAAGAGGTAAAAGAGAGAAAAGGAGGAACATATATTGAATGTAGTGATATTCTTTTTTTATTTAAATAGCCTCTATCATAAGCTTTTAAAAAAGTGTCTTTTTCCTCTGGATTAATCCATTCTTAATAGAGAAGTAGTGTAAGAATTCAAAATGGAAAGTTCCCTTGTTTATGTTTCATTGTATAATTAAAGAAGTAGAAAAACTTAGATATTAAGGCATTTGGGTGGCTCAGTCAGTTAAGCATCCAACTTCGGCTCAGGTCATGATTTTGCAGTTTGTGAGTTTGAGCCCCATGTCAGGCTCTGTGCTGACAGCTCAGAGCCTGGAGCCTGCTTTGGATTCTGTGTGTGTGTCTCTCTCTCTTTGCCCCTCCCCCTCTCAGGCTCTGTCTCTCTCTCAAGAATAAATAAACATTAAAAAAAATAGATGTTGACCGGTGGTTCCAGTCGGTTTAGCTGCTCCAACGCCTCAGGGCCATGATCTCACAGTCCGTGAGTTGCCTCGCATCGGCTCTGTGCTGACAGCTCAGAGCTGGAGCCTCGAATTCTGTGTTCCCTCTCTCTCTGACCCTCCCTCTGCTGTTT